GGTTCGAGAATCGATACAAAGGTGTCTCGGAGAGTTTATCCCAAACGCAGAGCTTGTTGTCGTTACCACCTGACGCAAGCTGACCATCTTCAGTGTTCCACCGAAGGCCGCAAACTTCTTGCTTGTGACCTGCCAACCTTCGCAGATACTGGTCGGGACTGCGGACATCCCGATGGTATATTAGTCGATCGCGCGACCCAGAAGTCAAGATGTGATCATTCCATGCGAGCGCTCCGACTCGCGCCGAGTGGCCAGTCATTGTCCTTAGCCTTCTAGACTTCTCAGCATCGTATATCTGGACGAACCCCTTGTGTGTTCCAATCGCCAGATGGGACCCTCGCTGGATCCACGCCACAGATGTCACCAAATCATTGTCAGGCAGCTTGCATAACTGTGTGACTTTGCCAGTAGCACTGTTCCACATGTAGACACATGATCCCAGCCCTACACCGAGGATGTTCGCCGACCCCCAGTCCACCAGATTCAGATAGAAGTCGTCCGCCAACTCGGGAGCGTCCAGCACTTTGTAGGGGACTTTGGCAATCGGTCGAGGCTGCTTCCGCGGTGTCTGCAAGATGGACTGTGAGGAGTAGTTGATGGGCGATATCGAGTACAAATCCGATCTCGCATTCAGGTTTATGATTCCAAGATGTTTTCCGGTTCGAGATGAGGGAGTGGGATGGCCCGATCCGATCACTTTCTGCGGAGACTTGTAGGAGAACATGTTCTTGTGGGGGGTAGTAGGGGTGATAGAGGCAGGAGGCATGGATGATATCGAGGGTTGGCCCGGAGGGGTTTGACGTCGGCCAAACAGTTCATCTGGGGACAGAGATCTGTAGTCTTGCGGAACCGAATCACCCATCAGCTCGTTGCGTAGGACTTTTGAATAAGTTCTGTTCGCTTCTTCCGTCCGTTGAAAGTGGAGTTCGCCATGAGGGGTCTTCTTCTTGGATCTCGAAGGCGTCGCCGGTGAGGCATCGTCATGCAACAAGCTGTAACTTGCTTGCAGGTCCTGTCCATCTCGGTTTGGTATGAATCTAAGAACATAATCAGTTTCACCAGAGCAAGCGACCGCATCTCTAGAAGCTCACCGATCCCCATAAATCCGCTGTCTCTTGCGGCTAGGACTGCGACCTGGGGTTCTGTCTCGCGGTCTTCCAGCATTCTCAAGTTCTTTTAACCTTCGATTCAGGGCATCGGCTTCCATGGCCTCGGTGGCTCGTTGGATGGCAGACATTCTTTCCTCGGTATGTCCAAAGCGCTTGGATGATATCGTTGGTGGAGTCTTGGAACCAACTGGGGTTGGCAATGTTGGAGTAATGGGACGTTCAGATGTGTCGATCACAAGGGAAGCTGTAGAATCGTCCGCCATGATGGGTGTTGTGACAAAAGGCAGTGGGAGGTGACGACTTGGTCGGTGATTTTATGATCGGGTAACGTTGTTGGCGTGAAGTACCAAGGTGACGGACATGTGACGTTAAGTAAAGCAGAGGACAACAGTTCGCAAAGTCGCCGCCAATGTCGGTGGTGAGAGTTGTTGATGGCCTCCGCAACCGCGACCCGTTTGCTGTTTTGTCGCCCTGAGCCAATTGTCTATCTGCGCGGGATCGCAAAAGAGGGGGTCGTGGTCCAACTAAATACAGAGCATTGTGAGGTAGATCCAGGGCAGAGTACTGCAGAAGATGAATGTCGTAGATGTCAATGTGTCGTGACTGAGGCAGGGGACTGTAGTGAAATTGAGATGCGCAATCTGTGATGGACTTTGACATGAGGATGAATGCGGACAACCAGGGAATCAGGGACAAGGACTTGCGTGACTGGCCACTCGCAGCTCCCGCCGCTTCTGGAGCTTGCCAAGCGATTGACACACCCGAGCGCGTTGCCTAGATCGGGTTTTAACTGGGCTCGGTGCCATTTAATGGGGGGCTTTTGCGGGTAGGCATACCTATTACCTGGTGTTAGGGGTGCTTTCACAACGGACCACCCCCAGTCTGCTCTCTATGTACCCGGTATGTATACGGGCCAGGTACTCGGTACACGGGCAAACGGGCCAGAGGATTTTGTATGGGGAATATCTCGTATAGGTCACTATACCATTGGACTCCAACGAATTGCCTCGATTATACATGCACACACCTCCATGCCAAGTACATGAATTCAGCAGTTTCCATTCACCCCTATGAAGCTACCTATGTATGTACTCCGTAGGTACCTGGGCATTGCAGCAAGGGGGAAGAGAAACCTCTACTCCTGCGACTAGCTTCCTGCAGGAAAATCCTCGACCAAAAGCACTTTACGCGGCCACAACATTGACCCTGCACGAGATGTCAACAATCGCGTCTCTTTGTGATCGGGCGGCAAGGAGAGCACAAGACTTAGTTTGACAGTGTCATCATTGTTGTCATTGGCATTCATTGTATCATGGTCTCGGAGTCGCCCGATCCTTCTTGTCGCCTTCCAAATGGCTTCTCCCTGTTTGAGAATCCCTTGCGGGCACGAGATTGATTCGACCAGAGCCGTGTTTCAGGTGGATAAGAAATCCCCTAAGCTGGACCTGGCTCACTTCGGTGCGATTGGCATCTGCAAGGCTCGCGGTCGATCAATCCACCAGCGGTGAAACCGGGAGCTTGGACCATCTAGTAGTTAATCCTCGTACATGCGCCAAACTGCGTACGAGTAGACGCCCTTCCCCAGATTCACGAATCACCATACGATTCCTCGGTACCTCGTAATCAGTGGACTTGAAGCTGTCGCCAGAACAATCTCATCAACAGCCCAGCGCTGGGACTTTTCGCATGCTTCAGCGAGCTATCTTTCGACAAGGCCCTTCAACCGCTAGACTCTATTCAAACATGGCCACCATCAATGTCAAAGCTGCAGCCACCGATTTCCTTGACTTTGTCAACGCGTCCCCGACACCCTTCCATGCTGTCAAGTCCATCAAGGAACGACTGACCTCGGTGGGATTCAAGCAGATCAAGGTCAGTGCAGTCTACCCACACTCCGTTCCACCCTTCTCACTCTTGTCTACAGGAAAAAGATTCCTGGTCCTCGACGTGTCTGCCTGGTGGGAAATATTTCCTCACTCGAAATGGATCGACCATCGTCGCATTTGCAATCGGCAAGAAGTGGAAGCCTGGCAACCCCATTTCGATGGTCGGTGCCCATACCGATTCGCCGTGTCTGCGCATCAAACCTGTGAGCAAGAAACAGGGCGACGGGTTTCTGCAAGTGGGTGTTGAAACATATGGAGGTGGGCTATGGCATACTTGGTTCGATCGCGATTTGGGTGTTGCGGGCAGAGTAATGGTCAGAGGTAGCGACGGCAACGTCGTTCAAAAGCTGGTCCATATCAAGAAACCCATCCTCCGCATTCCCACACTCGCTGTCCACCTAGATCGACAGGAGACGTTCTCCTTTAACAAAGAAACTCAGCTTTTTCCCATTGCTGGTCTAATAGCTGCCGAACTCAAACGCCAGGATGACAAGAAGAGCAAAAGCGACACGGAAGAGGAAGAGCGAGATAGACCGTTCACTCCTTTGAAGGCAATGACAACAAGACATCACCCTCACATCGTCGAGGTGATTGCCGCAGATGCCGGTGTTTCGGCTGAGGAGATTATTGATTTTGAGATTGTGCTCTATGACACTCAAAAGGCATGCTTGGGAGGTCTCTTGGACGAGTTCATCTTTTCTGCGAGGCTGGATAACCTGAACCAAACCTACTGTGCGACGATGGGCTTGATTGATTCATTAAAATCTACGTCGGCGCTCGACGACGAGTCCTCAATACGCCTCATTGCATGTTTCGACCATGAGGAGATTGGCAGTATGACTGCCCAGGGAGCCTTTTCCATGATGCTGCCAGCCATCATTCGCCGACTCTCTGTTCTGCCATCCTCATCATTTGTGGGAGAGGATTCGGAAGAATCTTACGACCACGCCAGCGATCCAGAGTTGTCCACTGCTTACGAGCAAACTCTTTCGAGCTCTTTCCTGCTCTCGGCAGATATGGCTCACTCTGTCAATCCCAACTATGGGGCCAAGTATGAATCCGATCACCGACCAGAGATGAATCAAGGCCCCGTTATCAAGATCAATGCGAATGCGAGATACGCCACCAACTCACCTGGTATAGTACTGCTTCAGGAGGTCGCGCGAAAAGCGGCCAAAGTCATCGACAGCGATCCAGAGGGAGTGCCGCTGCAGTTGTTTGTTGTGCGAAACGACTCCAGCTGTGGAAGCACCATTGGTCCGATGCTGTCTGCTCATCTGGGTGCTCGCACGCTCGATCTCGGGAATCCACAACTTTCGATGCACAGCTGCCGCGAAACTGGAGGCGCAGATGATGTTCACCATGCTATCAGATTATTCAGCAGCTTTTTCCAGCATTATTCTGCTCTGGAGAAAACGATTCTGGTTGACTGAGTGGTTTGGAAAGCATATTGACTGACAAAGGCGACATTCAGTGAAACACCTGTGTCAGAGGGAGGAGGATGCCAAGATTCCTCCATGGTGTAAAGAGCTTGAGGCATGAGAAGCCAGCGTTCAATTCCGTGCGAGACAGATCCTCGAGGTCGAGCAGCAAGCCGCTCTGCACAAAACATTGATCAATCCTGAACAGGCAACATCCTCAGCTTGGAGGTTTTCAGCATGGTGTTGGATATGCTGGTGACTGTCTGGCTCTGTCTGCGCCTGGCCACAGGATGGATCTGGGCCGCCTAGAACACAGGATTACGAGTTCTCCGTGGCATCCTCTAGGTTCAGGAGCATGTATCAAGTAGACCTTTAGTTTCCTTTAGGCAAAAGGAAGAGGCTGTGAGGAAAGATGCGGGGTTCCGGTGTACATCTCCAACCCAAATATTTTCTCAATGATATAAGTTCTGTCCCGAGTAGATGGCCCGCACTGTCCATTACGACCAAGATTGGTATTCAACCTTTGCCCGTCCGACTACTTCTCGCACCCTCCCTGCGACCACCTCCTGGCTCCTGGCGCAGACATGACCACGCCTAAATACATTGCGGGCAACAAGGATGCAATCCGCCAATTCATAGACAGGTTCGATGTCCGTGCCCGCTCTTCGTCGGCGAAGGCTGCTTCAGTCCTGTGCCTGAACTCCATGTTAACGCGAATGTCGTCGGCATAGGTCTTCCTCATCGACTGCGATGGCGTCCTCTGGTCCGGAGACCACGTATTCCCGGGGGCCGTGTCCACGTTGGAGATGCTGCGGCAGAAGGGCAAGCGGGTCGTCTTCGTGACCAACAACTCGACAAAGTCCAGGCAGGACTACCAGAAAAAGCTCGAGGGCATGGGCATCCCGGCGAGCGCCGAGGAGGTGTTTGGCTCGTCATACTCGGCCGCCATCTACATCTCCCGGATACTGCCCCAATCGCACCCACAGCTCAAGCAGAAGAAGAAGGTCTTTGTGGTGGGCGAGGCGGGCATCGAGACCGAACTCCAGTCCGAGGGCATCCCGTACCTGGGCGGGACAGACCCGGCGTACCGACGGGACATCACGCCCGAGGACTACAAGTTCATGGCGGCGGGCGACCCCAAGGCACTCGATCCCGAGGTTGGCGTGGTGCTGGTGGGCTTGGACTTCCACTTCAACTACCTCAAAATGTGCTACGCGTTCCAGTACATCCGGCGTGGGGCCATCTTCCTGGCCACCAACATGGACTCGACCCTGCCGTCGGCGGGCTCGTTCTTCCCGGGCGCCGGGTCCATCTCGGCGCCCCTGATCAAGATGCTGGGAGGCCAGGAGCCCATGGCCTTTGGCAAGCCGAACCAGGCCATGATGGACGCCATCGAGGGTAAGTTCCAGTTCGACCGGAGCAAGGTGTGCATGGTGGGTGACCGCGCCGACACGGACATCAAGTTCGGCATCGAGGGTAAACTCGGAGGTACCTTGGGTGTGTTGACGGGGGTCGCGACGAAGAAGGATTTTCTCGAGGGTGATGTCCGACCCGCGTATTATGTGGATGCCTTGAACGATCTTTTGGAGGTTGCATGATTGTCTTTTTTTACCTGGTCGCCCGAAAGATGAATCGTAGCCAGGGTTTCTCTACGAGGAGGGAGCAAACGAGAACGATTAGAGTCTGCCCTTCCCCCAAGGCTTTAGACCTACCGAGGCAGCGTCAAAGCTCACAGTAGAGTCTCGACACTCTCGTCAAGCGTCTTCCGTCCGTAGCCGTCGCGTCCTGAGTCGCTTCCTCTGTGAAGTTGCTCGCCCTCCCCACCCAAGTGCCGACGTCCTGATCCCCAAAGTAGGCGTAACGCTCGATCCACGGGCACGCCTCCAACCAGGGCACCGCCTCCCTGATGAAGGCCTCGACCTCGTCGACGCGGGCCTCGCCATCGCCCATGCGCGAGCAGGCGAACTCGTTCACCCACACGGGCAGGCCGTACGTGGCGTGCATGTCCTCGAGGAAGGACCTCATGTCCGCGAACCGCGGGCCGTACCAATGCAGCACTAGGAAATCGATCTCGTGCGCGCCGTCCAGGAGGGAGAGGAAGGTGTTCAACCAGGGTTTGCTCCTCGACACGTCGCTGCTCATGCCGGGGCTGCCCAGGCGGAGGTTGAATTTCTTCTTCGCGGGCACGACGACGTCGGTCCACAGCCTGGCCGCCTCGTCGGCGGGCAGGTTGGCCTGGTCGGGGATCTCGGGCTCGTTGAACCCCAGCAGCGCCGAGGTCTGGATCCCGCGGTTCTGCAGGATGTCCGTCAGGAAAGGGTCGAGTTGGTCGCGCGCCGTGGCCGCCGTGCGCACGCAGGGGACCCATTCCACCCCGGCGGGCACAGAGTCCGGAACCCAGCATTCCCAATTGAATATCCACGAGATCTTGCCCGCTCGCGCGTGCGGCTCGTAGAGTGCGAAGTGCGTGCTGGGCTGGTTCCAGGGCCACCCTAGTCCACGCTTGCGGCTGCGTGGATGGTGGGCAGATGCTACGAGGTTGGAGGAGAGGGCTTTGGGTTTTGGTGGAGGGGGTGGCGGTCTGGCTTTCTGCATGGCTCGTTTTGATCTGGTATCTAGAGAGCACTCGAGGTGTGATGGAGGGGAGGTGTCGTGATAGAATGTTCCGTTCGTTCGTTACAGAAATATGTGCTTGGGACGTACAGTTACAAGGATGAGGATGTGTGGTTGGCGAGTTGAGAGGCTGAACTCAAGTGCCTCTGATGCGTTGTACATACGCAGCCTTGTCATTTTTCCCTCACCATTGACCATCCATCACATATAAACCACCGATCACGAGCACGAACGGGCGAAATGGAAACCCCCTCCTGGCCAGTCCCCGAATCCTCCAAGCCAGTTCGTTATTTCGCGATCGGATCGAACCAGTCAGGACCGGTCATCTGAGGCTTGGTGACCACTCGCCAGATACATATCTCCCTCCCACGAAGCCGACGTGAAACGTCCACATTCTGTACCTCATCACTTGCCATTTCGGAGCTGAGGAAAATATCAGGGATAATTTCCTTCGATAGACACAAGGATATGGGTGGAGAAGGAAAACGATATCCGGTTGTCGCGGCGCATCCCGGTCGTCTGGGGATGTTTAAATCAACAACCTCATGTTCTCAACGATCGCCTTCGACCGCATCTCTCAGTTGTGGTCTGTGTCGACTTCGATCTATGCATCAGGAGGGAATTATTCTCTTCTAAATCAATCTCAAGAGCATATGGAATGAATCAGTAGACTCTTGCAGGGTTCGCCATGTAAGGTGTACAACTACTCTCTGTCCTGTTGTCAGCCTCGCCCATAAGATGAATACTGCCAGTACCGACCACCACCATCCACACATATATTCTCCAAAGTCAAAACATAAAATCTCTTGCTCGTTATGAGTGTTAAAAAGGTCTACGCGATGGACCTTGACTCGAACCCCCTACCCATCTACCTGGCGGACAAAAGTGCAAAAAACTCAGACTTGTGAGAAAACCACCTGAGAGAGGAGTTTTTTTTTGTATGGCATTCACTTGGCTCGATCAATGCGATGCTCCCACCTATAGCTTCTCACAGGGTTCCTTAACACGCTCAAAGGCCCAAGTCACTATGATCCTGGACGCGGTCGCAAGACTATGAATTAGGGAGTTACCACCACCGCACACACCTGGGTGTGAGGGTGGATGGTAGAGCTCCTACATAGCCAATGCTCCGGCCCAGTCACTTCTAACATGAGACTTTTTGCGAACTAAGGAGATGAGGAAGACTGTGGACAAGCCTTACTGCAAACATTGGTTTCGCCGGTCGAATGTGATGACACTTTTGGCGTTTTTTATATTTATGGTGGAGGGATGGCTATGTGGATCTTCTGCTGGGTCAAGTGATACATACTAGCACTATGTGTCGATGTGACTTGGCGAGGGAAGTGTGTGATGCGCGGAATATGGCTTCTCACAAACGTGAGGTTTTCGACGGACGAGGCTGAGAGCAACTTCTTCCACCATCACCCAACCAAGTCATCCACACAGGACTTAGGATACAGCAGGCTATACAAGCCGGAATCTCACCTCCTGATGAGATGGTTCTGGATGGTATTCGTGGTGTTTCCACAAGCCATGAGCCATGGTGACAATATCAATGACCTCCAGCGTCCCCGAATCACCCTTGGACACAGTCAACGATCAACCATGTCCCTGTTTACCAAGCCATTTTCGTTTGATCGAGACAAGGAACGACCATCGACGCCTCCATTGCGCCGAATTGGCGATGCATACTCTGCATGACTACACCAACGACCGCCTGACACCCCTCTGTCACCCTGGGGGACCTACTGTTTGTCCACACGCGCCCAACCTGGCGAACAGCGCAAGGCATATATGCCAGAGGAGACCCCTATAGCCACAACGATGGATCCTTCGCCAAAATCGTCCTATAGTCCCCTAGACCAACAGCCTTTGCAAAATGAAAGCCCAACAGCCCTGTTTTCCAAGGGACTACGATGTCAGGCGTCAATGCTCAACAAGAGCCGCCCGCACATTCGGGGAATCAACCCAAACCACTATGACGAAGCTACCAGTCTTTGGGCGTTTTCCAGGTCCCGGGGAAAGCCACGACTCTGCTGGGAATGTTATCAGAAAGGAGGATGCATCTTGGACGGCATCGTCATGCCCCAAGAGTTCCCCATCGCCGGCGTCGAATATTCCCAGCCTCATCGTGTCAATTTCCGTATCCGACGAAGAGAATACTCGTGCGTCGCCTATTAGATCTGAACGGAGCGATACCTTGGTTTCGACCGGGCTGCACGGACCACATGCGACGAAATCTCCCGCATCAGGCTGGACGGGTGAGCAGTCTACTGCAAAGACCACAGAGTATGGGACCGGGGAGGACGAGGAGGAGGGAGAGGAGAAGGTCCACGAGGACCTTGTCCCAAACGTGGCTGGGTGCCCTGTCCGGGCGACTGCACGCAGTGTTTTACCGACGTTTTCGTCTCCCGAGCGTCTGGAACGCCGAGTCTTTGTTCCATGGGTTCGATATGCAGGTCCTCGCGAACGTGTGGTTCCGCGACAAAGAACCACATGGCTCGACCGCGCCGCTGGTTCCGACATCTCGACAATACCGGTTCCTCTAAATACGAGTCGGGAGTTCCAGTGGACTTCTCAACACGCGCGCTCACGATGCGAGTTCGTTTTCCCTCGAGAGGCCGGAGTCGTTGTCGCAGGTCCTCCCAGGTCCTCTTCTCTCAAATATACAAGAAGGAGGTTTCGTCGTGCTAGGTTGACTCGATCATGCAGTTCGGCATTGCCATCGAGAGTTCCTCCTTTGGTCGATTCCTCCCACGTTCACTATCATAGTCAAGCCACACCAGCACGGACAGTAGTCGCTGCTGCTAGATCACCAGATACAAGACTACAAGACGGTCATCACGCCATCCACGATCCAGCCACTATCGCCGTCAATAACAACAGCACCACCACACCTCCAAAAATGTCGAGCTACACCATGACCTGCTCCCCGATGTCCCCATGCCTGCTCACCCTGTCGCCGGTGGTGAGGATGCCGGCTGCACCGCCCCCGACCCTGGCTCAAGGCATTCAAAAGCGACCCTCTCGCAGCCAAGTGGACGAGGCGGACATGAACATCGACGACATCCTCTCGGCGCTCCCCATCGGCACACCTATCCCCTTAGCAAAAGGAAAAGAGCGGTGTCTGTCACCTGTTGAGACAATCCCCCCAACCCCGCCCTCTTCACCATTGTATGGTCGTCGAAGCCGAAGCTCGAGCACCTCGAGCAGCAGTGCGTCGAGCAGTGAAGACGGAGACCGAGGAGGCGGCGTCTGGCTCCGACGCGACCCATTCGTCTCCATTGTCTACCCAGGGCGAGGCGAGGCATCGCAGCCCCGCCCAGCGGAGCCTGACAACAAGCTCCTCGCCGCGCTGGTGGAGGACAGCGTGCCACACGACTCTGTCGACGACGCCGCCCTCGCCGACAAGGAACCTGATTTCGACGACGAAGACCTCGTCACGGTCGCCCTGGACGACCTCGCCAGCTACTGCCAAACGGCGAAGCTATGCCGGAAGCACCGCGTCCACATGCCCTGCGAGCGGGGCAAACGCGCGCGCGACGTCGACCACGGGCCCCTGCGCCAGCGCCGCGTCACCCGCCAAATCGACCTCCAGCAGGGCGCCTGGGTCGACGTCGAGGCCCGCGGCCTCTCGTCGCAGTACAACCAGTTCGGCGCCGTTGGCCAGCGCGTGACGGCTCGCGCAGTCCCGCCCCCGGTCCCGACCGTCCAGAACCACGAGAAGGTCGTGTGGAGGTCTCGCGGATGGACCGTGGTGCCGCACTCGGGGCCGGCGACGGCACTGCTGAAGGTGAAGGCGCAGCCATGGTTTCCCGAGGACCAGTATGGCTGCTAGAGGGGGTTGTCACCATTCCGCCTGAAGCGACTATGGGAGGTAGACTGTGCGAAGGAGTGTTATAGTAGTTTGAATAGCAGTGGGAGTGAGAGCCATGAGGGGCGAATATATGTGTGTGATAGAGAGAGAGAGAGAGAGGAATGGAGGAATATCCTTGAAAGGACAGAAATGTTAGAGGAAGCAAGGATATGCATATGCGCCCTTGAACCAAACAACTAGCCTAGGCTAGGCACATAGGTTACTACAACAACAATACAATAACTGTGACAATACTTTGATACAGAGCCACGGCCCACGTTCGTAATACTTCCGCTCAACTCACCTTCCCTTCCCTTCCTCTCTCCATCCGTCCGTCCATCCCTTGGCCAAAGAGCGAGTACATACCTTCGTCGACCGACTAGTCGATGACAATCGCAGCAGACTCCATGTACATACATATACGTGTTGTCATATACATGTATCGATTAATCATGGTCAAGCATACGTACCTCGGCTACCTAACATACATACATACATACATAGGCAGAGGACGAGAACAGACACATGGAACAGGCTCAGTCAGTCAGTTGGTTTTTCAGTTTTCAATTTTCAGTCCTCAGTATCAATTTTGATGTCAAACCTGCGTCCAATGAATATCGAATATTTTAACCAAAAAGTAGTTCATGACGCGCAAAACAAAAAGGGTATCAGTATCAGTCAAGCATCTACAAACGTTACAAGTAAGTAGGTCAGGTCAATCAAGACAATCTCATCAATCAACAAGACTCCAGTCAGCCAGGCCCTGTTGTCAAAACTCCCAGACACTAGAAATTTCATCTTCTTCACCGTGTCGAGTTCACAACGTCCTCCTCGTGCTGGTGGTCCCCTCATTCCCCTGGTCGGCAGGTCACAGCGCTTGTTGTGTCGATGCAAACGAACATTCCAACGTGTTCTTTTCCTGGCATCCTGACTGCTCTTTCTCTCGCTAGACGCAACTCACATTGTTGCCCCCGTGAGCGGCCCCGAAACATTCTTCCTATCCAAAATGTTGCCGTTCGCCTCATTCAGGATCTCGGCGCCCGTGGCCCTTGCGTTAGCTTCCAGATTCGGGTTGCTGTTTGCATCCCCGTTCTGCTGCGGGTGCCCTGTGTCGTCCAACAGTGGGATTTTGTCGATGGATTGCCTTTTCTCGTGTCTCCCGCTCGGATCCTCCTTTGTCGTACTCAAATTCACGTCCGAATCCACGGGCCCGTGCGGTGGACTAAACATTGCTCCCGGAGAGTTCTGCCATTTGGCCACGTCACGCTTCATCTGTTCCAGCTCTCTTTGGAATCGCTTGCCGAAGATGTCCATATAGTAATTCGCACCATTCCACACAGACCAGCTGAAAACGAACAACAAAAACAACGCGCTGGGCCATCGGTACCAGAACCATATCGGGCACGGGATTATCGTGAGGCAGGCGTACAGGTATTGAATCACCATAAACGCCGGCTCTTGTAGATAGTCTGGCAGAGAGTTGACCAGCCTGCCAATCCACGTGTTGGCGTACGAACGACGAAGCCACGTGAACGATGTGGGCCTTCCAGCAGCAATCTTCTCGGCACGCCGGACAGAGATGAAGAAGTGGTAGGACAATTGCCAGACCGCGTAGGGAATGGTAGCCCACAGGAGCATTGCGGCTAGTTCATAGTGTCCGGGGGAACCCTTTGCGCTGCATTTGATGGCATGCACGGCAGGAAAGCGTTTGAGCAGGTATTCGTCGGGGGTGAGGTGGACCATGCAGTGCAATGCCACCGGAGGCATAACGTGGATAAACAGGCTGGTAACTTTGTCCAGTGAATGGAATACCAGCGAGTTTCTCCACAGGACAATGGCAACGGCGTTGTTACCGTAGGCCAGACAGTAGGCGCTGATCAAGAGACGTTTTGAGCGAGGAAAGGCCCAGATGCTGCAGAGAACAAGGAAGTTGACAAAATAACACAGATCGGCCAAAAAGTAGTGATAGCCCTTGCGGTGGTAGGTGTAGGCTCGTATGGGCATGAAGTAGATGAGCTGGATCGTATACCACCAGTAGAAATACTGGGGTACAGCCCCTATCAGGTACCCACTGATGAAGACGTTGAGAACGGCGGAAATGAATGAAACCTTTTCGCGGATCGATATTGTAACCACTTCGTTCCATCTCTTGTTCAGATCATCCACCGACTTCTTCATGCGCGATCGATACCTGGCCAGCTGTTCGTCGGCCGGAGGAACTCGCTTGCGCCATTCGGCCACGGCGCGATCTTTCGCATTGTTGCCCGAGCTCCTTATCCTCTCCTGCTGGCGCGCCAGCTTCTCTTTCTGGGCCTGTATAGTCGCCTGCCATTTTTCGATCTTGGCCGGTAGAGCGAGATTGTCGAAGATGTCGAAAAAGGTGAGTTTATCGAGAGGAACCTCCCAGTCCTCCTGCAAAGATTGGCTACCCACGTAGGAGGGATTTCTGGAAAGGAGATATGGACTTCCAGGGCTGGACGACTGATATCCCGACTGATAACCCGGCGTCAAAGCACCTGTTAATGAGCCTGTGTGATCGGAACCAACACTACCAGCGATGTCGTGGGAGGTCATCTCATCTAGGGCGGTTTCCGTTTTGGAGTGAGGGATTGGTATAGGATCCGACATGGTTGAAAGATACAGCTAGAGAAGGTACATAGAAGAGTCGTAGGGAGTGGTAGGAAGAGGCGGCAAGGGATACAGAGCGCGAGTAGGAGGGAGGACGGGTTGCGGGAGAAAGTTGTAATGCAGGGCGGGATGCGTGGATCGGAGACCCTAGGATGATGCGATGGATACGCCGGGGGATGATTCTGCAGATGTTTATAGCAGGCCGGCGCAGGACAGAGGACACGCAGGCAAGAAATGGCGATGGTGCTATGCTGAGATGAATGGCACGTGCCAGATAACCAGCAACACCGGAGGCTCGAGGGTCATGCTGCCAAATGTGCACATGAGTCTTGTGAGAGAAGGTGTTTTGTCCTCTACCAGGCAACTTTTGTGGTGTTGAGAGCGAGAGGCTGAGGAGCGTGCGGACAGGACGCACCATGAGTGGCAGAATCGCAGCGTCGCCTCGCCATAATACGTCAATTGTAGACGCGCATCTGGCGGCATCTCACAGGCACCCCCAGCACCCGCAGGGCACCCTTGGCGTGGTGGTTCTTAATGCTCCTAAAGGCACTTACTAAGCCTAAACAGCTTCCCACCTGGGTGCCACCACCTACGTGCCTCAACCTAGCGAGCCAGCGAGCCTAACCCGTTTTGAGCGTAGCTGGCCATTAAACTCATCTTGTCCCCCATCCTTCCAACACGCGCCTTGTCTGGCTTCGCGTCTCTTCCCATCAAGCAAGAATCCTCGCGTCTCATCTGCTCAATGTCGATATACTGTACATCAAGGGCGCGCACATAGTCAACACTCCGATACAGAACAATCGCATGGGCGCACTTCTTGACGCCATCCTCCGATCATCATAGACTGCTGGGGTGATTTCCTGGATCCTCTCATTCTCCATGTCTGCGATCTGATCCCTTCACCGGTCAAATCACTCTGTCGTGCGACTCCACCTTTTCTTCTGCCTATCAAGCTCAAGATGGGGAAACTCAGCAGGCTGGAACTCTACAACTTCAAATCCTACAAAGATCACCACACCCTCCTCTTCGGCGATGCCTACTTTACGTCCATCATTGGGCCCAATGGCTCCGGCAAATCAAACGCCATGGACGCCATTTCCTTTGTCCTCGGGATCAAGTCGTCTTCCCTTCGATCGAAGCATCTGCGCGAGTTGGTCTATCGCGGTCGAGTTCTACGAACGTCCGTGGCAAATGGCGGACACGAGGCAAATGGAGTAAATGGTCATGAAGAGGAAGAACAAGGGTCGCAAGCGAACGGCACGCAAGAGCGCAATGATCCAAAGTCTGCGTGGGTCATGGCAGTCTACGAAGATGACGCTGGTCTCGAACAGAAATACAAGCGCATAATCACCAACAATGGTGTCTCGGAGTATCGCATCAACGAACGCGTCGTTACCGCGCAACAATACAACGATTCGCTGGAAGACGAGAACATTCTCATCAAGGCGCGCAACTTTCTTGTGTTCCAGGGCGATGTGGAGGCTATTGCGACACAAAAACCCCAAGAAATAACGCGCCTGATCGAGCAAGTCTCGGGCAGCATTGAGTACAAAGCCGATTACGATCAATTAAAAACAGAGTTAGATCAGGCAGCGGAGCAGCAGGCGTTCCAACTCAATCGGCGTCGAGGCATCAACGCCGAGATTCGTCAGTACCAGGAGCAAAAGCGGGAAGCGGACAATTTTCTGAAGAAAGCCGCCGAACGGGACGAGGCCATTGTGACTCATGTTTTGTGGAAACTGTACCATCTACAACGCCAGATCGAAGAATCCAGTGCCGAGATTCAGAAACACCAAGAGGAACTCAAAGAATATCGTCGCGGCATGGAGAAATATGAAAGAAGTCTGGAGGTTGCCAAAAAGGAGCACGCCCAAGCGTCACGAGGCGTTGGTAAGATAGAAAAACTGATCAAGACCAAAGAAAAGGAAATCGAGGACAAAACCTCATCCCTCATCCCGATTGACGAACAAATCTCCGTCTCCAATCAGCAGCTCACCAAGTACGCGAACAGATCCAACACGATCATCAAAGAGCGGAACAAGCAGGCGGCAACTGTGGCACAACTTGAAAAAGACCTGAAAACAGTCGACAAGGCGCAGATCAAGTGGCAAAAAGAATGGGAGCAGAATGCCTCTCGGTTAGGTGGTCAATTGAGCGACGCTGATCTCCAGGAGTACACTCGCCTGCGCGAGGAAGTCAATAAGCGAGCAGCGGCTGATCTGGGTCGCATTGAGAGGCTCAAGAATGACCGAGCTCCGATCGAGGCCACCTACAGCAATCTAAAAAACAGTGTCGAAAGTACCGAGTTCAAATTGAGCACCCTCGAAAGTGAGCTTGCCGCCCTCGAACAACGGCGAGATGCAGTCAAGGAAGCAGTCCAACAAGCACAGATAGAGATTGATGCTAAGAAGAAAGAGCTCCACGCTGCCTCATCTAAACGACTGCAGGCCTCCCGGAATCGGACTGAGCTCGATGAGAAACTCGCGGAAGTGGCTCGAAAAATCTTCGAGGCCGATGATGGTCGTCGGACGACTGAAAAGGAAGTGAGGATGCGAGAGACCATCGCTATGCTCAAACGCACTTATCCCGGCGTCAAGGGCCGCGTCCATGAACTGTGCAGGCCCAAGCAGAAGAAGTTTGCGGAAGCTGTCAGTACTGTGCTAGGTCGACACATCGACGCCGTTGTTGTCGACACCGAAGCCACGGCTAAGCTGTGCATCCAGTATCTACGAGATCATCGCTCGGGCCAAGCAACTTTCATTCCGCTAGACACCATACAGGTCAAGGCACTCAGCTCAAATCTCAAAGGCATGCACAAGGGCATGCGTCCAGCTATTGAGACGGTGGATTATGACCAGTCTGTGGCACGAGCAATCTCGTATGCTTGTGGAAATTCAATAGTTTGTGACAATCTGAGCATTGCGAAAGATCTGTGTTACAATCGTCATGTCGATGCAAAGGCTGTCACGTTAGATGGCAGTGTCATCCACAAGGGCGGTTTAATGACTGGCGGTCGTGGCAAAGACCAACCGTCTCGACGATGGGACGAAGCCGAAATTGAAAGGCTTCACAAACTCAAAGACAAGTTGATGGGGGATTTTGCTGCCCTGCCACAAGACAGCTCTCGCCGGGCAGAGGAACAGACCCTCCAAAATGAGTTGAGTGGTCTTGAAAGCAAGCTACGATATGCCAAAGATGAACTCACAGCTCTCGACAAGAACCTCGAGAGCAAAACGCGGGAAGTCCAACACGTCAAGCGGCAGCTAGCAGAGGAACGTCCGAAGATGCAACAGGAATGGAACAAACTGGAAAAGATTGACGAGGACATCTCAGACTACCAAGAGTCGGTCAGCAACGTGGAAAATGAAATCTTTACAGATTTCTGCCAGAAACATGGCTTCGACGACATTCAAGACTACGAAGCTCGACAGGGATCCCTGCAGCAGGAGGCTGCTCAGAAGAAACTCGAATTCGTCACGCAAAAGGCCAAGATCGAGGGCCAGCTCAGTTTTGAAAAGACCCGGCTTCAGCAAACGGAGGATCGTCTAATGGCTCTTCGAGACAGAGAGCAAAGGGATAAGGAGACGATTGACAGTCTTAATGAACAGCGGCAGGGCATCCAGGACGATCTCAACACACTAAAAGATGAACTCGATGAGCTTCGCGCTCAACTGGACGAGCAGAAGGAGCTCCTTAACGAAGCCGCTGAAAAGCTGGCAAAGCAAAAATCAGAGTTCGAGAAGCGCTCGAAAGAGATGGAAAGCACTTTCCGAGAAATCAATGCCCTCGAAGCAGAAATACAGCGCCATTCTTCGGCGAGATACAGCCTTCTTCGCCGCTGCAAGATTGAAAACATTGCCATTCCACTGACGGAGCAATCCGCAAGCTTGGACAGCGTGCCCATCAACGACCTGCCGCTTGAAGATGCCGAGGCGATGGAGGCCGATGAAGAGGAGCCTACGGCTTCGGCTCTCAAGACTTTTGTCGTCAATGACTACGGCGTCGAGCCCGACTTTGATGCTCTCGAGGACGAGCTCAAGGAGGAAAACAGTGAAGCTATGGAGACCAAACTGCTAGAGGACATCGCCAAACTTAACGCCACTCTAGACAAGATGCAACCCAATGCGCACGCCGCACAACGTCTTGCTGCTGTAGAAGGGCGTGCACGCGACACGGAGCAGGAATACGAGGACTCGCGCACGAAATACCGCGACCTCAAAGCTCGCTTTGAGGACACCATGGAAAAGCGCAATGAACTCTTCAACAAGGCATTTAGCCACATCTCGGAACAGATCGAGCCCATTTACTCCAACCTGACCAAATCGGATGAGTTCCCGGCTGGAGGGCGCGCGTATCTTACAGCAGACGAGGAAGAGCCGTACCTAGCCGGCGTGAACTACCACACTATGCCGCCTACGAAGCGCTTCCGGGATATGGAGCATCTGTCAGGAGGGGAAAAGACAATGGCAGCGTTGGCACTGCTCTTTGCGATTCACAGTTATCAACCCAGCCCGTTCTTTGTCCTGGATGAAGTGGATGCCGCCCTGGATAATGCTAATGTGGGCAAGCTGGTGAATTACGTCAAGAACCATGCGGTAAGTCTTGTGTCTTGTTGTCGCCCAGAGGAAGGACCCTGTCGTGGTGTGGAGCTAACAATATCTTGTGTTACTATAGGGGCCGGGAATGCAATTTATCGTGATCAGTCTCAAGACTGGCTTCTTCCAGGGCAGCGAGGCTCTGGTGGGTGTATATAGGGACCAAGGAGCGAACAGTTCCAAAGTTCTAACGCTGGACGTAAGTTGCTCCTCGCCTCCTTTATCCGTGACGGTGGAGAGCTAACTTGAGCTTTAGTTGAGGAAATACACCTGATTGTTGGGGACTGTGACTTTTTTTCGTCGTGCGAACCTCCACAGTGAGGATCCGATCCAGACTTATGGAGGTGTACCAACAGCCATCTATGGTGTCACAGTTTCCAGTGCGGATGCTATGCTATGCTATGATATGATATGACAATGATGCGGGAGAGCTGTTGAACGACAAGTTGTTACATTGGGGAGGCAGACCCATCCATTCTCCACAGGACAGGCCAGTTTCACGACGAATACCCACGAGCACACACAGCGTGGATACTACTACGACAGGTTCCCTTGGATACTGGGTACTTATCTGCGCAGCGTTCTCGATGCAGTCCACCTGCGCCCCTTGAACGCGATGCGACCTTGTACATACAATTATGTACTGCCACCCACCCTGTCTTACTGGACCGACGATGACGGACTGATGGGACTACACGCACACAGAGTATGTGTTTCTGCCACACACCAGAGTAGGAGGTAATGCGGTCTGCGTTATGCGTTCCGTTGGTAGTCTGATAGTCTGTCTACCCGTTGATACCTACTGTAGCTAGGTAGAGAGACATCATCTGCGTACGGATGGATGTGCTTGTGAACCATAGATCCTCCAACGAGGTTTACATACGAGAGCCTGATTGAGGAACTAACCATCGATCCATCGATCCATCTTGAAAGCTCATACATGGCAGGGCAGGTCCGGAAGAAAGCGAGGAAGGAGATTGGAAATGTTCTGTCTGATTTGTTTTTTTGTTTTTTTGGTCAAAACTCTATGGAATTCGTTCACGAGAGAGAGAAAGAATGGTGTGGTCTTGCCTGATCTGGTCTGTTTTTCTCCTGTCGCTTCCGTCCCAGAAATCCTGAGATAGATCCCCGTTCCCGAGTTCCCGAGGGTATTGGGTACTGAGAGACAGACAGATAAAAAAAGTCAACCTTGCTGCGATCTCATTCCCCCTTCTGGTCCCAGTAGTTCCCGTTGGCAGGCATGACACGTCCAAAACTGCTGAGCTGAGTCTATAGAGAGAAAAAAAAAAGGTATAATTTGCCCTTTGTGTGGCGCCGCCGTCTCATGTTCTGGGAAAAAACAAAACATCGAGATCAAAAAGTCTTCAAGAAGTCGTGAGCCAAAATCGAACGGGGATATATATCTCTCTGCATTTCACAAATCGGGTAATGCAATGCGAGATCGTAGACAAGGCTTCTGCACCGGCGAGACACAGTTAGTTTTTCTTGTCTTCAGGGACTTTCTGTGCCTCCTCTTGCTTGCCCTGCTCCGTGACGTCCTGTTCAGCCTCTTTGGCCTCGTCTTTCGCATCTGCCTTCGCCTCCTGCTTAGCATCGGTGGCCTTGGGCTTGGGCTTCTCGTCGATATCTTTATCATCTTTAACCGTCGAGCTCGCGCTCTTTTCACCCTTGGCCTCTGACGTCTGCTTACTTGACTCGGCCTGCTCGTTCTCTTCCTCGATCAGCTCCTGCTGCTCCTTCAACACCTCCAGACGTTGTTTATTGGTAGCCGCTCCTTCTGCATTGTGGACCTCGAGTTCAATCTCGTGGAATAATTCCTCCGGAATGGAACTCAGCACAGCTTGCAGTGCATCAATTTGAGAGTCGATCTCGCTGTCTTTGCCAGACGTGTACATGTACGCATTGCTGAGCACCAGCAGGGTAGACGGAATGTTATATTTGAGGCGGAGGTCCAGCCACATTTGTAAATCCTCCCTCAGCTTGCCTGGCGACATACCGTGGGTCCGAAGCCCGCGAGAAGCGCACGCCATTTGGAGTTCAGGCACAGAGAGGGAATCCACGCCTTCAAAGGAGATAGCTTTGTCGTCACGCTTGATCTGGCGCATACGGTGGCGGATTTGATACCGCAGCATGGCGTCGGTTCCAAAGGTGTTGAGGTTCATGTACTTGCACATGCCCACGAGCTGTGGTCTGGAGAGATTGTCCAAGGTCAAATCGTCCTTGAAAATCTTACAAACCTTGATAACATCCTCCCTGGAGGGAGATTCGCCGGTTGCGCGGACTTTGCGGAAAAACTCGGTAAACTCTTCCTTCTTTGCATTCACGGCCGAGACTGGGAGGCCCGTCTCACGAAGTGTGTTGCGGAGAAAAGCAGACACTTGTTTGCGCGTCTCCCTGAGATGTGCCGCCTTGGTTTCACGGCTTTTCTGGCCTTCGAATGTCGACGGGAGGAGATTGGGGAACAATTTCAATGCGACCGGGAGCAGGAGTTCTGCAAAGGGGACAATCACGAAAACCGAAAAAGGTACCAGTCGGCCGAGATCTTGAACTGTCCGTTGCAACTGAGTTGGCTGTTAGTATCTCTGCGCACACACAAGCCGATCAAGCAATGCTTACCTGTCTGTTCTCCCGGCGACTGAGTTCGTAGCCGGCGGCCATTTTTAACGCAAGCTTCGAGGAGATTTTGACCTCGGCGGCCAGCAACTTCGTGCCGTCCCAGTAATGTTGGATTTCCTTCTTTATCTTTTGGCCAAGGGTGAGTTTCTTAGGTTCCTCCTTCTTGGTCGTCAGGTCCGTCTGCTCTTTTTCCGACTGCGCAGCCGCCTTTTCGGCAGCCAGCTCGGTGAGACTGGCCTTTTCCATGGCTTGAGTCTTTGCGGTCGCAGTGGCCTGACTTTTCGGGACATGTAGTTGCTCATCGGACTTTTTGAGTTCTGCGACCGTAGGGGCAGAGGACGCCTCGGATGACTTTTTGGCCTCATCCTTTGGCAACGGCTTCTTAGCCTCGTCGATGTTGAAGCCCGGAGGAGGACCGCTGTCAGGACCATGCGGGGTTGTCTCTGTCGCATAATTCCGGTGCGGCAACGCAATGGCCAGAGCCGAGAGTCTAGGGGGTAGGTCTCTTGGGAATTTCGAACGAGAGTAGACGCTCAAGAGAGGAGAGTGCGACGCCCGGGAGTATGCTGTTCACACAAGTCAGTCGAGATCCAGTTTCCGAACCAACACATAGACGTACACTGTATAACGAGTCTCCTCGCCGCAGCATTGCTGATTAGTCTAGGACCGGAACTCATGGTGGTCGGATTGAGAGGCGAACGGGAACGAAAGGAATGAAGTCGACTCGAAACTAGAATGATGGACAGGGCGTCAAGCCAGTCAGGAAGTGAAAGAAGAAAATCCGAATGGTTTGCTGGGACAAATGATATAAAGGAAGATGTGTCGTGGTGTAGAATTACGAAATGTACGGAGAGGATTAGGGAGCGTGAGGGATGTGTTCAGGTCCCCAAGTTCCAGAACCCAAACCCAGATCGCTAAGAGGCCCAAAAGGGAAAAGCGCCAATAGCTGAGCCGGGATGTGGACAACGCAGTTGGCGCCTTATCGGAGTTACCAACAAAAAGGCCGGCTTTAAATCACAATCACGTGATATCTACTCAAACACACAGAATAACGTGAGCAAAGATGAATGGTGGTTAGATGCACGAATAGCAACCCTGTATTCTTATGCTACAGATGAACTTGATAGCGGGTTAAGGATGACCAGTCAGTAGGTGCCAGATCTGGCACTTTGAAGAGCCGCGTATAGCACCGGAGAGACCGATATAGGCAGAGCAAACAGAGCCCACGAGGTGCCCTTGTAGTCATTTCAAGCCTGATCTCCCCGATGTTCGCCACTGAGCACCTAGTCGATATTGCATTGAGCTCAATGCCCTGAAATGCTTCTGGTTCTGCCGTCATCAACACCCTCGACTTGCGAATCACATAGTTCCGGAAGGCGACGGAGTTCGATTTCTCCAAAGCTTACTCCGAATCACCATCGCCATGTCTATCCACACTTTGCTTACCAGGTGTATCCCTCATCACTTCATCGTCTGAAGCGTCACGTTTCCGCCGTTTCGCCTCTGGCGAGGACTCATCCGACGAAGTATTGCGTCGCCTGCGCGCAGCAGGCTCGTATCTCTTCAGTGATAGCCTTCGTTTATGGTGCGGGCGTCGACTTCTGCTTCGGCTCCGACTGCCTCTTCGCCGAGAATCATGTTCGTCGGGGCTGCGGCTCAAACGGCGGACATCGCGTGCATTGCGACCCTTGAGAATATCAGCTCGCCTGTTGTTTCGATTGTCATCAGAGGAATAGTAGGAGGGAGATCGCCTATAACGTCTGTCACCCTTTCTGTAATTCCTCCGTCTGTCTCGTGATCTTGACCTTGACCGAGACGATGAATAGGAGCGTTCTCGGCGGTATCGCCGCCGTTTGGGGCTCGGACTTGGACTGGGGCTTGAAGCTGAACGGCTTCGAGGCCGTCGTCTTCTAGGCGACGGTGAGCGTGACATATCAGAACGTGTTGGAGATCGTGTGCGTCTATCACCGGGTGACTCCGAAGTTCTTCTCAGCCTGCCGGAGCCCCTCCGTGGGGGTGACTTGGTCCGACTCTTGCTCCTTGAATTGCGTTCTCTCCTGGGTGCTGGTGAAGGGCTCCGTGAATATGGTGCCGACTTCGACCTGGACCTGGACCTGGTTCTGGATCTTGAGCTTGACTTGGACGCAGATCGGCCAGCACGACGAGAATGTGGCGAGGAAGGCGAGCGAGAAATGGAACGAGAGGGAGACCTGGTCAAAGAACGTCCTCGACCAGTGTCCCGACCCCCTCTACCTCGATTCCCAGGAACATAAGTGTCGGCCTCCCTGCGGGACGGATGGCCTCTATATGGAGATCTTCTGCGACGTGGGGGAGACCGTGAGTATCTCGGAGGTCGCGTGTCGTATCCTCGTCCACCTCGTCCGCCAGTGCCACGGCGACCACGACCGCGCTCGGCCCGCTCGCGCTGTCGAATGGAATCAATATCCCGCTCTTGAGCTTGTTCGTGGTCCCTTTTGTTTTTAGCCTCCACGGCCGCTTTCTCGGCGTCGATCTAGCCATATTAGCCAAGTTCAATATTATCGTGCGATTGTTGTACCTTTTCTTGTATCAGCTCCAGCTTCTTGGCTTCGAGTAACTCCTTCGGGACTCCTTGCGCGTTCGACTGCGCACTCAGGCACAAGTTCCACAGTTCCTTGCAGAACTTGGGTGTATCCTTGTCAAGAAATCCGGTGAGCGAGATTTGGAGCGCTTTGATATCGGGCTGATGCCGTTAGTCTAGCTGTTGCAAGATGGGAAAGACACCAACGTACGAAACGCGAACCCTCGAGCAAGTTGAAGCAAAGCTCGATAACAACGTCATCCTCGGAGCCAAGTATTTCAGAGATCTTGCCTGCAATCCATCTTTAATCTTAGATCAGCGGCTGTTCCACTCCAGAGACAGGGGAGAAGCCTTTGACGCCCAGCTCACTTTTTCATGACCTCGACATTGACCTTCTTCATGTCGACCTTTTGGTTGAATTCGGGGGGGAACTTGGTCTGCCGAAGCAGTTTTTGGTCAACTGGCGTAGCCATGATGTCGCAAAAATGCTTTCACAGAAACCAAGTGTAGACAAACGAGCGCAGATGAGACACTGAAGGACTACGACTTGGGCTGGGAGTTGGAGACTCCAAACTAGAAAAGTCGAGAACGGGGCGGAGATGAGTCTCGAAGACAGGAAGGTTGAGCGACCCCGCGTACAAGCCTTGCGTCTCAGCCTTGTGGTGAGAGCCTCACAAGCTCAACAGATAAACTTTCTCGTAGTAATATTATCATGTTGACTACTGGATGGAATAGGCGGCTAATGGTTGGGTCGTCCCATTTGATGGCGATGATGGAAGGCCAGCTCTTTCCATTTGCACTGCTGCGCAAGCGCGTTCTGCTTTCTTCCCCCATTGTGCTTCACTCTTTGCATTTGCTCAATGATGTACTTCTTCATGTCCCCTATACTTCTTACTTACGCGTGCCTATGGCTTTGCTTCAACGTTCGTTCAATATGAGTAATGACCACACGCTGTCCGTGTGGTTCCTCGAGTAGACATTATTCTCCCCACTCCACCGGCTTGGGCTGGCCCTGGCCAGAGCATCCTGCCTGCGACCACGCGCCAACGTCTCCAGCCCTGGAATACCCGCCCAAAGAGGGACTTCTTCCAGATACACCAGGAGAAAAAGAGCTGGCATGGATTGTACCCAAGCAATAGAGGGCATCGCTCATGTCTGACAGGCTTAGGACTCGCAAACGTCGACCACGGATTCTCGGAGGAACAACCTTCGCGAAGTTCCAGAGCTTCAACTCGGCTCATCTACGTTGCCCGCAATCTGGAAAACTTCTACTTCGAAGAGGCTGTCTGTTGGAGCGCTCATTGGACATTTCGAGACGGTTCGTATGGCAAACTGCGCAGGTTCACTTGTTGACGAGACCAGAAAGACCAGTTCGGCAAAGCACCTACAACTCCACTTGAACGCGCGGTTACGAGTCCATCGCTGCTCTTACGTGAACGGTATCAGACCGCGCTCAAATCACAGAAGCACATTTCTCCTGTTTATCGCCCTGAAAAATCTGTCCGAGGACGAGGACTTCGGGAAGAAGAAATCCACTTCATCGAGCAAGCGATTAAGAGAAGGCTCTCTGATAGCTCGCTAGGTCCAAGCACACCCCAGATATCACCGGACATCTGCCCACCTGCGGACCGGCCACAGATCAAAGTGAAAGCATCAGCCCAGTCCATATCAATCATTATACCAGAGGGCATCAAGCTTCCGATTGTTGCCACCATCGAATCTGCGGGAGAGTTTGATTTCAAAACTCAGATGTCGACATCGAATGTCGAAAAAAAAAGTGAGCCAAGCAGTATCACAGGTGATGACCCAAGTGCACGAGGGATGAGCCGTCGGCAGAAAACGTCGTCAGAACAGACAACAACTGGTGCCAACCAAGCAAGCGAGAACCAGGAGATAAGAGCAGGATTGGCACTGCCCTTTCTCGCAAGAGTCAGCAAAGGCCGACTGAACGTTTCTGAGGCGTCAGTCTCCGCACCCCAAAGTGCCGACGTATCTGCTGCAGGACAAGTCTTCCTTCCTCCTCACGAACGATCCCCCAAAGAGGTTTCCGACCCACTACATGACTATCTCAAAGAAGCTGAAGTAGCGGAAACAGGTTCTCTAGACGCCTCTGAGCCGGTCAAAGAGCCTGGAGAAGGTTCGGATTCACAAGACGGAACGGAGCCGGAAATTGACCCCCTGGAGCCTGTGGTGACGGCTCCTCTCCAAATTGAGAGTGCCCCTGAACCTGAAGAAGCAGACCCAGGCTCCGTAGAACCTGCTTCAACCTCCTCGCCCAAATCAGCGAACGCGGTCGATCCGGTCGCAGACTCTGCCCCTCAGGTAGAAGACCCCCAGGCCTTCTCTATCCCGGAAATCAGAATACACAGACCCAGCGGCACGATCGTGTCTGAGATTGTGGGAATATCAGGCGTGAATGACACGAGTATGGCGCCCATACCTGAACAGACAGCAACGGAACAAAGTCCGACTGGTACGCCGCTCAATGCTGTTTCCAATCCAGCTGGGGCTGTGTCGGCGCCTACCACTCTCCCCACGGATCCGACAGCCGTCACGAATGTGGCGCCCATCAATACAGCGGTCTCAGCTGTTCCAATTCCCGTACCTGGCTTACCACTGGTAGGCAAGGTTCCCAGAAGGAAAAGAGTGATGCGGAAAGCCCGTCGAGTCATTGTTAGAAAGCGTCTGCTCGCTCTCATTTTAGGCCGAGACTTGGCCGATGTGGTCCATCCTCAGCTCAACACAACCGGGGAAAGTGTACCCAACGTCCCCTTGCCTCTAGATGGACCGAGTGACCTGATGAGCGGCTACGAGAGACGGGAGGAGCACAGAAAAGTTGTCCGACAAAGACACCTCGAGCAGAAGATCGCAAGCGCCAGAATACATGCGGAGGCGGAGGAGATTCAGAGGTGTCGGTCGTGTCGAGGGCTGAAAAGGACAAGCTATTCACGCAAGTATCACCGTTCGCAGCTCCAACGGGACAGGCCTGACATGGGGGTGCTTGAAAGGCTTGCCATGAGCAGAGCTCGGGTGGCAAGGTCCAAATGTCAATGTAAAAGACGGGCATCTGGAGCTGGAGACCAAGGAGGGAGATTATATACTCTACCGGCAGATGCACAGCATCTACGAGGTCCTGGCGCTGACGAGGCTCTTCTGCTTGGAGTTATAGGAGACTCGGCGCGGTGAAAGATGGTCGGAAATATCATTAAACTCCCACTAAATGAGGTGGCTGTGGTTCATATTTTGCATCTGTAGCTCGTCATTATCTGGCGCAGGTTCGACTTTATTGATCGTCCTGTAGGATCAAGACTATCGGTCTGATCTGGACAAGGCCGCCAGGACCTGGTCGACCTCCCTGCCCGCTTGGACAAAGTCAGGATCGGGGCCTCTCTCGGTGAATTTTACCTTGACGTCGTAGTAGAGCGAGACGAGTTCGTCTGCACGGTGCAGGTCCTTATCGTCTTGGTCTTTTGGTAGAGACTGCGCTGGTTGCCCACTTGTTTCGTCCGACTTTGTCGATGAGGTTTGAAGAGCCCCGTCATCGGTTGTTTTTGTTTTTGTTGTGGTGGTGGTAGGTGGCTTGACGAGGGCGATGGCCGCTTCGTGGGACTGTCGGACGGACACGAGTTAGTCAGGTTCGCCACTCACTCACTCAATCCTTTGGGTCAATCAGGTACATGTACTTTGGTCTAGAGTAGAGTTGGCTGTGGATGTATAGGGGTGTAGCCACGGTAGCCATATATAACTTTGTAACCACTGGGTAATTACTTGAAAAGTGCGATAAATGTGAATTTTGAGACGTGGACCACCCACCACTTACACAAACGCTCAGGGACTTGAGATCTGATAGGAAGGCTGCGACTTGCATTTTCTCGTTGTGTCTTGTTGTTGTTATTGTTAGTTCTGCGGAGGCGGTGGCGGAGGGCAAAGGCGGAGGTCGAGGTGGTAAGCGGGGGAATGGGTATGTACTACTGGTACTGGTACTGGAGATGGTACGAGTCCAGCCGCCGTCAAGAGATGGGGGAGAGTGGAGGGTGAAAGTGACAGGTTGATGGGTGTTGTGTGAATGATCGATTGCTGGATGATGAGTGATGGATGATGGATGTTTTCTTGGTGTCTAACGTACAGAGTAATAGTACGAGGTACATGGTTTTTTTTTGGCTGCGGACACGCACATCTCAATTCAATCATGTCGTGCATTCATCTTGGCCATCCTCACTATGTACCATTAACCACCACCACCACCACCACCACCACCCTTCTTCTCTTCTTCTCTTCTTCCTTGACCCGACTCCGACTTCTCCTTCGACCTCAACTTCGAGCTTGGAACTAGGATTGAGGGTTACCATACAACCACCCAAACGTGCACTGACTGCATTCCCGCACTCATGCTCTTAGACGCGAAAAAAAAAAGAAGAAAAAAAAAACCAGGTCTAGTTCGGAAATCCTGGCCGTGCCGCTTATGACCTTCCCTACATACTAACCTACCTACTACCAACCTACCTACCTACCTATGTAGGTAGTATCCGTACGAGGTAGGTACTCGGACGGCTGTCCCGTAAGATGAACAAACCTCTTTCAATTTCCCATCGCGCAAAGAGGCCTGGTTGAGTACATAGTATGCACCCAGTATGGAGATGAGATGAGATGAAATGAAATTGAGACAATTCAAGATGTGCAATGATAATTTCCGCATCGAAAAAGTATCGCCCCTCTCCAGACATTTTCGGCTCGTCCGATCGCCTTTTTTCGGAATACCCACGGCGCGCGCTACATATCATAGTCGGAAACTGGCAATAATCAGCCGTCCCGTACTATTTGACGATTGAAACACAGCAGCCATCCGGCGAGTCTGCTACTGAACCATATTATACGGAGATAGTGGACTATCAAAAATCTTTGTCGTCTTGGCGTACGAGAAGTGTCAGGCGGTGGCCATCCGTGTCAATGTCTTTTCATCAGAATCAAAGATTCACGTATTGATACGCAAGACGTCTTGTTTGGCTAGATCCCTCGGGAATAAGCCATCCTCCCGAGGGGCTGCAAATGTACAACGAGACCTCCTCTCTAGGTACGAGGATGTTAGTAGGTATCCGCTCAACTGGGATGTATTTGTATGTCCTGGTTCGTTTTCTGTAGCATACAGGTTTCATGCTTTACATGGGCATAGGTACATATCACACACGTGATACAATGCCAAAAGTCCATACGTTGCAACCATCCGGAGGAAACGTCGGTCGGCCGGTCGAGTCATGCGACATGGTGGGCCACGAACCTGCACGTGAATGAGGTGCGACGTTGTGGTCGAATGTTAGCGAGAACCACTCACCAAAGGGGCAAGTCAAGAGCAAAGTCGCGCGAAGATGTCAAGCCAGACACGACAGTGCGGAAGGATTGCCATTCGAGAACCGGGGATAGGACTGGGGCCACATATTCCATTCCAAGACTGTAACGATGCGTCCAACCGAGCTGACCGTGGGCGTAACAATCACGCAAGAGGAGGTAGTTCGACGAAGCCGTCGCCTTGTGCCCACGAGGGCCCATGTTGTCGGGTCCAAGTCGCCCCGGTTCAAGTTCTGACCGTGGACAAGACAGGGTCACCCACGGGAAGTGGGTTGAATTGAAACATCGACCCTCCAACAGTTCATCAAGCCTCGCCCTTCACGATACCAACGAAGTTATCCAGGATCTTGCGAGTATTCAAGGTTGACTCCCGGGGGCCGGCCAGGATGATGGTTGAATCCAACGTAGCGAACGTCCAGTTGGCGTTTGCAATTGTAGATTCCCAAACTTTGTGACCCAGCCGTATCAATGTCAGACTTCGAAAGAGGGAGAAAGGATTCGGTCTCCAGACTCGGTACCAAGAAGCAGGGTCGCAGAGGTGTCGGAGTTCGCCAAGAGGGCAATTATGCTCGATTCCACTGGGGGCGAGGATTTTGGAGGAGCGTGGAGGGAGTCGACATCCTTAGCCAGCGTCGGTTCATGCAACGTCTGGGTCTGGCGGCAAACTTGCAAGGCTGGCAATTTCCCTTTGTGGAAGATGGGCCGATTTCTCAGCGCCGTGGACTTGTTTCAGTGTCAACCGGCTATATCCTTGATTGTTCCGACCTTGCTTTCATCCTTGGTGTGGGCCACGGTTTGATTATTCAACTCGTACTCGTACACAGTACAAGGTACAGCCGTCATGTCCATAGTCCACAATGCCCCCGTCTTTTTGCCCAACGACTCTTCTGAGTAACGTTGAATACGATCACCCGAAGAACACCCGATGTTGCCACCGTGCTATCCTGTGATTGCCACCATTTTGCTCACAGGGCGTTGCACGCATGCGCAGTTTATAAAAATCCCAAATCGAGAATGAGGAGACCTACCGAATTTGCTCGCGCCCCACACAGAGTTGGGTCTGCAGGGATAGTATCCGCGTGGTCACCAGGCGAAGACAGAGGCAACGACTGGAGAGGGCTGTTTCGCTTCTGCATGCAACAACACAGCCCGCAAATCATTTCTAGTCGGTACTCCTTAGGGACGTGGTTCAACGTGCCGGTGTCCGGGTTGTTGCCAAATGAAGCCATAAGGCGAGGCAGTGAATGTCCGGGCGGGCGAGTGAGTGCATGGGTGCTTTGCGGGAGGAGTTCATTACGAGTACGATCCTCTGGGCTAGGCGGGAGCTGGCAAGAACACATGCCGTTTGGGGACTTGCGTTTGATGACGACCAGCCATCCAGCCGGCGAAGGATGCTGAGCTGAGGATGAGGATGAGGGAATTCGGCTTCCGGCGAGCGCGCAGGAGTGTCAAGTCAGGGAGGAGAAAGGACACATGCATGCATGTCCGACTGCATGGGACTGTTCCTGCTCTGCTTACGCAGTGGTGAGAAGTGATGTTTTGGGAAGGACGACGAGGATTTGGGATAGAAAAAAGTGTCATCATACAGACATTGTCATGTATTGATGTACGCGGCGACTAGGCACGCACGGGAACAAATGCTCCAAACATTCCAAGATTGCTCAACTGGTTTGAAGCAAGAAAATGTGTTGAAATGACGGCCTCGTCAACTCAGGATATCACGGTATCAACTGTCAATGTGCCAACTTCCACGCCAAGTTTCAGCCAGCTGTCCAGTCATTTCAAATCCTTTCCGGCCCCCTTTTTCTCACCGCGTAGCCAGAGCCTTGTCGGTACATAATATTAGGTCAGACAAACTCGGAAAAGGAAAATGGACCAGAAAAAAAACTTCCTTTCTTACTTGCGTCCCATTATTGCCGTCGTTGCTCCTGCTCCTACTCCTCCTCCGACTCCCTCCTCATGAAGTCGTCGTATAGTGAAGGGTCATGATTACTGATATTGGCCGCCGTCAGAACCATGAACCGTCACCCGTGGGATCATCATCGTCATCGCAGGGATCACCTTGACCTTGACCTTGACATTGACTTTGTCCTGGTCCTTGTCCTTGAACCAGTGAACGCGGTTCACGTCCAAGGTCAAAAAGTACAGGGCAAAGACCAAGACATATGTGATCCGCCATTCCCTCTCACTCTCACCCTCACTCTCACTCACCCCGCATCCGCACCCGAACCCGAACCCGAACCCGGACAAAAGAACAAGGTGCAACGTGCAAGGTACAACGTGGATACATCCATGGAGAGGCCCGCCGCCTCGCCTCGTCGCCTCGCCGTTCCGGTCGCCGAGAGCAAGCGGGGAGGGGGTTCCTTTGTACCGATATACGAGGATTGTGGGTAGGTAGGTGGGTAATATACTTCAATGTACTATACTACAGGAATGATATGATGTAATATCACGAATATCAATAATTGCCACAGGCCGCCAGTCGGAGGGCACGAGGTACAAGATGCAGTATGGTAGCGTATAGTATACTACTTAGTACTCGATATAATCCCAAAAATGAACGGATATGAAATACTCCGGACGAGTTTGATGATGACAATCAGGCTGAGACGCGCCTTGCAGCACCAAGCCTTGCCTTGCCTCGCAACCCCTGTACAAATCAAGTACATGTATACATACACTGACGCACAGACACACCGATGCTGCCTAGGCTTAGTCGTATGTACACAAATATGTAACGCCTCGTGCCTCACGACTCATACTCATACGCACGCTCACGCTCACGTCAGAACACGGTCAAACCCCTTTTCCTACCCATACTCGTACTCGTACTCGAAGTCTTCTTCATAGATGGTGCGCAAGAACACCTACATTGGTGACACCACGACGTCCACACCTGTATACTCGTAGAAAAAGTATACGCTCTCGTACTCGTATACATATTTGTGTGTACTACTACCAGCTTTCTTATTCGTTGCTGGCTGCTTGATAAACATACTCCTGCTTGATAACTCGCGCGCGCGACACTCCGAACTTCAACCGCAAACCAAGACTGTCAGAGACCTCAGCCGATTCGTCGAGGCGTCGCTTCTCTGTCGGCATGCGCCATGACTCCCCCGTCCGTCGAATGATAAATGGACTGAGCTGCGTAAGAAAAGCGCCCTGCTTGTGCGAGACGCGAGGCATCCTCTCGTACAGGGGACGTGAAACCCACTAATGTCACATACCTTGAACCCCTTGATTCAAACAATTGCCAAATGAATAAGTATGAGCCATGGTCAACATCGACATACTGGCCCATTTCTCAATCAGGCTCGATTGGGTCGCCACTGCTCGACCCTTTCGTCCCCGTGTGGTTTGTTTCACCTCCGCCGATTGACGTAGCAAGAATACGACGTCTGTACCTCCGCCTCGCCGTCCTTCTCGCGCCGACGACAAACCAAAAGCAACCCAAGACCGACTGGCCGAGCAGGTGATATCGGACCCACGCAACACCCCAGAGTAGGATCAAAGCTTGGTACAGAA